AGCATTCTCTGTCTTCAATATTAGTCAATAAGAATTTTCATTTCCTAGCAGAATCATATTTCATGTCATGCTTTTACCTTCTCATAATGATTAGAAAAACAACGAATAGGTCTTAATCAATGCCAACATTCATACTAATAGCATGTTTTAAAAATAATATATTTCTTTTATGAAAACTTTACTCGCACACGGACATCATTTTCAAAAAAACGAGGGTGTGGGCGTGAGTGTTAGTGGAGAGAAGGCAGGTATCCATTCACACCCCGAACACATCCACACCCTTGAAAGAGTCATTTTGACATTCATTGGGACATAAATGTATAAAAAAAATGCGTACTCACAACAGTAAGCACATCTATATCACCTCCAGTTCAACCCATATCTTCAATTAGACTTTGTTTGATACTTTATGTTAACAACAAGAATAATGATGATGAGCTATTACGAAGATTCCTGTAGTCAAATCTCTGATGTGAAAGGAGGATGTCTAGAAAAAAATTGAACATCATTCACTTGAGAGGTGACAAATTATTCTACGATGTAAAATCGAATGTAGTTAAATCGATAAAGCACGAACATATTACAGGGAACAGCATTTTCGAATAGTGTTGTGACTGAAAACTCTTCATAGGACGTTGGTAAGCGTCACAAAAAGTTTCTACAGAGGAAGAAAATTTTTTTTTCTGAAACTGGACATGTTCATGTAAAAAATGATATTTAGAGATGAAAGTCGTACAAATAAACTCTTAAAATGCAACGAAGACATAGTTCAAAGTACAATTTAATGTAGCTGGCTATATATTATGAGTTTGATTTAATCGAGAGACGAATTTCTGTAAGCTACCTATAATAAAAATACCGATATAGAAAACAAAATTTGTTCTTGAAATTGTTCTGAGTCGTCATTACATAGTGAGTCAATAGTTGATAATAACAATATTTATGTTTGGAATGGTGGCACAAGCCTATTAAATGTTTATATCACGAAGCAATATCGCATCGTTGTTACGATGCTTTTCTCTTTTATAAATATTACTTTCTTAAAGAAAAATCAAGTGCTTAAGAAAGCAGTGGAGCAATATCAAATTTCTATTTATCAAACGATCACTTCGTGTGCCTCTTCACTTTCAGCGAATGTGAAAAATATTGCCTTTTCATTTAGATATAAAGATGGATGCCGCCGCTGTTCTGTCTCATTTCAACACAAGAGATGATATCAGCATTAATTCATTGTTTCGTATTCGTTCTACTCAGGTAATTCTAAAAACTTTTTTTTCTTATCCATTTAATGTTGAACAATCTTCCTGTTAAGCTTTACAGGTTTGATTCTTGTTTCATTTTACATGTTCTGCTATTAATGTAGTATGTTGCTAGTTCGAGTGGAATCTCAATTCTGCTATGGGATATCTCAATATGATCGATGTTCATCGAATAGTGCTTGTGCCTGTTTCTATATCGCAGGTGCTATTGATACTGGTATTTGTAGTGATGAATTCGTCGATTGTTCTGAACTAGTTACATGTGAACAGCCAGACAACCTTTGTCATGAACCTAAACATAGATGTGTTCATCATCCTCGATGTCGCAATCTTCCTGTTTGTTATCCAGCTCCGAGTTTTAATCAACAACTTTGTCCACCGATAGCAAGTAAGAAAATACTCAGTGATCTATAGATTCAAGTGAAACTCGAATCTTTCTTAAATTTACTTCTTCATTATTCACATACTCTTATATATGCGGTTCATGTTAGTATAGAAGCAATAGGGAAGAGTCGAAGAGCCTTTCGAGAAAAGGAGATGAAGTTTGATAGAGAGAAAATGCATTGTAATTTATCAGAGAAAATATTTCATCACTTCGCTTGAACTATATCCATTAATTTGATATACAGAATCGGTTGCAGTTATATGTAGCGAAGCATAAAGATTGTGATCAACATCTAGCTCGAAAGAAAACTTACTTATAATTCTCTTTGTTATATTTCAAATCACTAAACTTGCAAAACTAAAAACTAATCATTTAGCTGTAGTGGAGTAACTGCTAGAGCTCAAGAGGGCTTTAGCAATTGAGTGAGATGAATATGCCATTAATGGTCACTTATACAACTGTGTGTAACTTATATTTTACAGCTTGTAGTATTCCTGGCTCAGCCATCTCAATAAATTGCTAATAAGCGCAGAATTCATATTGGTGGGCTGTTCTTGGGATGGCTAGTTTATTTTGAAGGCTCAACTTGCATGTATCAAACATTTGAGATTTCTTTCTTAACAGAAGAATATAAACATTCAAACTGACTGACGACGAGAGGGACGAGAGAGAACTCGGAATAATTTATCTCTACAGTATTATACTGTTCCTTCGAGTACCCTTTTAAATTCATTTTACTCACATTGCTGACATGAAGGCAGAATATTCTAATAATTTGAGATGAACACGCTAGTAGATGGACGATTTATATGGGAGGTTGAAATCACAAAGTTCATACTTCGAATAACAACTCTACTTTGAAACACTGCTTAAACTACAGCTAAAACTTAAATGCACCAAGTTCTATTTTCCATTGTATATCAGACCTAATAATATCTGTTTTGTGTACACAAATGTTTCATGATAATGAATAGTAAAAAACACTACAACTGCCATTCCAACTACAACTACAATCACAACCACAACTACAACTACTATTCAGCAGCTAGGTAAGCATTAGATTAACGCTTCTTATCCTTGACAAATGCTAATTTTTTACTCAAGGATTTTATAGTTCCTTTGTATGCAATATTGCTCGGCAGCTAGCTAAAAATTACATTGATAAGATCAGCGATCTTATATCATAAGTAAAAACCAAGTGATAGTAATCTTCATGCTGGCCATATTTCATTATTATCGAAGTTTGATTTGTTTTGTTGACAGCTATAAAACGAAATGCATTCTTCTTCTTCTTCTTCATTTTATAAGAATGCACTTTATTCTAAGTACTTCCTCATTCTCATCTTCATCTGAGCACAAAAGATCACAGAGAGCCGTTCCAAGACTGATTAATTGATCATTTATGAGAAGTATTAGGATAGGTCTAGGGAAAATTTTGATTGTTATGGGTCCTTCATTTATGTCATTTACTAGATATAAATCAATAAAGAGTACTAGACGTATGCAGAAACATATTGACTCGTGCTCTAAAAGATCTTTATTAGTGATTCATTCAAAATGGATAAAATATTGAAATAAGTTAAGGGTACTGGATCATTCGTGTTATTGAAGACTTAATATATGTATCACAAACATAGAATGCATGAGGAGGGGACGATAGTGAACTAGTACTAATTCAGCTACGAAAATATAGCGACATGCCTAGAAGCTGTAAGAAAATCATGATTGACAAACGAAGCTTTTGCACATTTCGAGTAGGATGTCGGTGTGCAGCGTGAATGAAGTAGACGGTTAAGAGTGAATCCTGAAAGATCGTACATTGATGCCCTTGTTTTCTCATAATAATCCTAGCTAACGTTAGCATTTTTCTAGGGAGAATTTCAAACGCTTATTCATAAAAGCCTTTCAAGAGAAACCTTACAACTTACAATGAAGATTTTCTGAATGAGTATGCATTAGATTTCAGGAGTTCTCATGCAATCTTGTCTGAATATTTCGAACTTGATTTTGGACAGATTAGATGTTCACAAAAATCGGATAAAATCTTGCGAGAACTGTATTGGGAATTCGAATTAAGATTTTGACTACGCTCGAGATGGAGCACCGCTAGAGTCAAGAAAAATCCGAGAGAAATATCCTGAAATATTCTAACTCATCCACTTAGTTTCCCAATCAAGTTGTTGATCAGGGTTACTAGTTCTCTTGCAAATATTCGCGACGCTAATACTTCAAAACCGTTCGGACAAAATCCTGAAGAGCTAAAGTGGAGACTCTGAAAACAGTAATACTTCAGAATCGAGGAATTATCATCGAATCTTGTAAGAGTTTCCTAATTTGAAAATCTGTCAGATTTTCCGATTTTCTTGCTACGATTCTCTTACAATGAAGACAATTTTGAAAGAACCGGAGAAAATCCGGATAGAACCGTTCAAGAGCGTCATTGAATCCTGACGTTTTCCAAATAAAGATCTTTTTTAGAATTAGAATCTATCTTTACAGGCTTCAAGATGCTTATTCTGGATACCGATCGAAATACAATTCTGAATACCTGCAGTGAAAATTCCGAACACAATTATACCAAGTTAACATCCTTGTCCCATATAGATTTTAATTCTACATTATCTCTATTCAAAGTTTTGAAACAGGTCTCAACAAAACCCTAATAAAATTTGTCCTGAAACTTGTTCAAAGCCCAACAAATGTCACAAAAGAGATCATCAATGAATCCTTGTGCTGTCGTATTATCTTTGCAAACGTTAGGCTCACTTTGCGATGACTCAAAATGGTAATTTTTTGACATCTTCGCGCATAATCCTAAACATTTATAATGGAGATTTCGATAAATGATCTGTATCAAGTTTTATGGATCCTCATGAGATATTCTCAAACTTTTTGACTGTAGGGTTCTCACAGATCTCGTTCAAAGATAGGAACTCGTATTAACGCAAAAGATCGGTTAAGATAAGACTTCCGAAAAACATAGGGATTAGGTTTGACGTTTGTAGTCCAAGGAAAATTTCCTTGGTATACTTTTTCCATAATCCTGCAAATATTTAACATTCCTGCAATTCAGAATGAACTTCTCACAATTCAATGTTTTTCTATGAAAAGCTTACATGGATTTACTATTGCTGTTTCTTGGAAAATCTCCTTACAGCGATCTCCAGGTGTGATTTTCATTGACCACGAAGATTCTACTTTTTAGCATCTAAAAACTCATGGCAATTACTAGAAGTGGCATAGATATAAGAGAGAGGCCGAGGTTCTTCTTTTCATAAAAATTTGGCAAAAGATTTCTGGATTGATATCTACAGCAAGAACATTGCTAAAAGTTTTACCAAACTCGCTTCGAAGACCAAAGCTCAGCAAGAGAGGGCATCTCTTCGACAACGATAATGAAGATTTCTTGTCTTTTCCGTTTATTGTAGTGATTCCTAACATTCCTGTTGATGCTCGATGGACACAGAATGGTGTGACCATTGCTGGAGGCCATGGACCAGGCAATAGCACCAATCAACTCTACCGTCCTCTCGGTCTCTTCGTTGACGATGATCAAACGATGGTCATTGCTGACTT